AAATCTAACTAGATTGCTTACTAACTCTTTACAGGAGTTCTGACCTGCATTCCTGCTCTGGTCCCGGCAAAAACATCACACAGACACACACAGACCCTTTGTTTCCCCCCCCCTCCAGCTTTGAAAGCAACTTGTCTCCTCATTGGTCATTTTGGTCAGGTGCCAGCGAGGTTATCCTAGCTTCTTAACCCTTTACAGGTGAAAGGGTTTTGCCTCTGGCCAGGAGGGATTTTATAGTTCTGTATACAGAAAGGGGGTTACCCTTCCCTTTATATTTATGACATGCCCAAATAAATCTATTAGTCTTTAAGGTGCCACCAGACTCCAAGGAGAACAAATCATCACTAAGGCTGCAAGTAGTTGGTCACGGAGGTCACTGATTCCGTGACTTTGTGACCTCTGTAGTGGCTGGTGCCGGCTCAGGGGCTGCCCCTGGGCCAGCAGCAGCAGTTTGGGTGTGTAGGAGGGGGCTCAGGGCTAGGGGCAGGGGGTTGGGGAGTGTGGGGGGATGCTTACCTCGGGGTGGGGGACACCCTGGCTCCCACCTGGCATGGCACCTCTGCAGCTCCTAGGCAGCGGAAGGGTGTCCGCACCACACGCTGCCCGCGCCCGCAGGTCCCGCCCCTACAGCTCCCATTGGCTGTGGTTCTGGGCCAATGAAGCTGCGGCAGCCAGCGCTTGTGGCAGGAGCAGTGGAGCCTCTGCCCTGGCCCCTGCCTCGGAGCTGCAGGGACACGGAGCTGGGTAAGAAGCCCCGCCAACTCTCCCTCCCCCAGTACCAGTGGTGTGGCCCAGCCACTCCCCGCCACCAGTACTAGTGGAGGTCCCAGGCAACCTCCCCCAGCACCACTGTTCCCTCTAAGCTGTGCGCGCGCACACTGATATTAAACCCCGTGCACATGGCAAAACACCATGCGCGCTCCAGCTTCGGTGGCGGCTTTTTTTTGTGTGTGTGGTTTTTCTTTTGTTTATTTGTTTGTTTGTTTTTTGTTTGTTTGTTTCTTTACACACTTCACCAGCAGCACAGAAGAAATTTTTTGTGCACACAGCCTGTTAAAAATTAGAGGGAACATTGCCCAGCACCTGTGGCGCCCTGCCCAAGTTTTAGTCAGGGAGAGTATTTTTAGTAAAAGTCATGGACAGTGAATTTTTGTTTACGGCCTGTGACCTATCCATGACTTTTACTAAAAATACCCATGACTAAAACATAGCCTTTATCATCACCTTCCTCTTTGTAACAACCTTACACATACTTGAAGACTTCTCATATCCCCCTTCAGTCTTCCTTCTCCAAACTAAATAAACCCAAGTTTTTCAATCTTTCCTCATAGATCTAGACCTTGAATTCATTTTTGTTGCTCTCCTCTGGGCTTTCTCCAATTTGTCCACCTTTCCTGAAGTGTGGTGCCCAGAAAGGGAAAAAGTAAATAAGTTAGTTCAAACAGAAGGTATTTTGCATTCACGGCTGAAAGATTTGAATAGCCTTCCGGGTTTTCCTTTTGAAAGCTACTTCACTGCAAAATGCCAGAGCTATTGTTGTAAATATAGCATCCCGCTGGAATTAATGGGAGTTGCCTGTGTGCACAGAGGGCAGAATTTAGCTCTGTGTGTGCTACTGTCCCAGAGCTATGTGGCGACCTTGCAGGCAGCTTGAATCCATAGGAAACATTAGTCCATGTAGCCCATATTTATGGTCTTCCACAGTATGGAAGAAAAGCCATGGACATTTTCTGCTGGACAGAATCCTTTGAAGGTGACATTTCTGGCACTATCAGTAACACTTCAACGAAGCTGGTGAACATCTAAAATGTTTTCAAATCTAGATGCCTAAAGTTAGGGCCTATATCTACAGTTAGGCAGCAAGCAGATTTTCAAAAGGCACAAATAGCAGTTAGGTGCTCAAGTTACCACTAATTTTTGGGTACCCCCCATTTCTAGGAGCCCATTTAGGCTCTTTCCTAAAAATCAATGATGGGTTGGGTGCATTTTTCTTCACGCTTTTGAAAATCTCCCAACATTAAAAAAGGAGCCTTATTTCTGGAAATGCTGAGCGTCTACAAATCCCATTAATCTCAGCTTGAACATCAGGGTATTTTAATTAAGATATCTAAGTATGGATTTACAAGCCTAAATTTGGGCACCCAAATATTTTGGCTCCTGATTTAATAAGGATGAAGGCAAATATAAACAGGGAAACTTTGTGGGTTAGGCACTGACTCCATGCTACCACACTGAATTAATAATGTTATTAGGGTGACCAGACCAGGGCTGCCCCGGGGGCGGGGAGGGGGGGAAAGAGAGCAAGTGGGGCAATTTGCCCCAGGCCCTGGGCTCCACAGGGGCCCCCACGAGTATATAGTATTCCATAGTATTCCAACTTTTTTTATGGAAGGGCCAATGGCGTAGCCAGGTTGAGCGAACAGGGGAAGCGATCACAAAAAAGGCGCCACCCGCTGCGGCACTTTTACTCACCCGGCGGTGCTCCAGGTCTTCGGCGGCAGGTCCTTCAGAGCCGCCAAACAGACCCGGAGCAAGTGAAGGACCCACCGCCGAAATGCCACCGAAGACCTGGAGTGCTGCTGGGTGAGTAAAAATTAAAAAGGCACTTAATTAAAGGGTCCCTGAAATTGCTTTGCCCCAGGCCCCCTGAATCCTCTGGGCAGCCCTGGACCAGACAGCAAGTGTGAAAAATCGGGACAAGAGTGGGGGTGGGAGGTAATAAGAGCCTATATAAGAAAAACACCCCAAAATCGGGACATCTGGTCATCCTAATTGTTATTAGAATATTTATTCAACCTACGGTCATCTTCTACCACCAAATTTTTGCCGGGAGAGATCCTTCAATGTGAATTCCCACTGAAACCAACAGAAGTCCAGGCTGTTTAGCACTTTGCAGGTCTGGATGCTTTACGGGGAGGCATAAATGGGAATTTATTACCCATCTCCAGTTAACTTTCAGTGGGAGATAGGTGCCTAAACTGCCCTTTGTGCTTTGGAAACTCTTCCTTACCACTCTTAATTTTTAATTGTAATGACTGTCCTGATGATCAGGTCTCATGCAAATCATCCTGCTTATGTGCCCCGTCTATAGAAGCTTAAAACTGACAAGTTTGATTTAGAAATTCTGCCAGGCTGCCTCACTGAAGTTTTAGTTCTGGTGCCTCATGTCCCCATTCTTTCATTAGGCCTGGCTGAACTACATCTTCCATGTTTTGGAGTGTTTGCATTTATTAAAAACGCACACAAAGCCAAACCTTTACATGGAAAACACAATTTTTGTTTTTGCTTTTTTAAAAAATAATTTTGCCAAAACAACAATTTTCTATCACAAAACAGCTTTGACAGAGAACTTCCACAGTTACACTAGATCAGTGGTCCCCAAACTTTTTACCTCCTACCCCCCCCTTTAGCCCTGTCTCCGCCCCCCCCCACTCCCAGAGCCGGGTCCAGGAATGGGGGGTGTAGAGGGGGTAAAGGGGTAAAGGCTGGGGCCCCAGCTGGAGCTCGGGACAGGGCTGAGATCAGAGCTTTGGCCAGGGCCCTGGGAGAAGGGGCTGGCAGCCGGGGCAGGAGCCAGCAGCGGAGCTGGGTGGTGCTCCTGTCCCACTCCCCGTGAGAGCTGGCCCAGGCCCTGGCCATGACCCCCGGATCGTTCCTCTGTGCCCCCCTACCGGGGCGCACCCAACGGTTTGGGGACATCTACACTAGATTTTCCTTTTTATTTATTATTCATTCAGTACTCAAGTGCTGTAATTTTAGGGAAGATACAATGTGTTCATAAATATTGATGCCCACTCAAAGTGAAAAACTCAACCTTAACTATGGAGCTGAGACCTGCACCTCAATAACGACTGTAGGCCTTCTCGCAGTTTTAGAGCTTGTTGTTTTGTCTGTCTCTTGTTTTGTTGAAATTCCATTTCTCCCAGTCAGCTTTTACCTCACATACATAAAAAGTTATTCAGTCAGAGTGCTGCTCCTGCCCTAGGTCTCCACATTTTGTGGCGGACTCAGGGTAGGTCTTATCACTGTTTTCTTTACATGCATCAGTAACTCCTTTCCCCATGCAAGGCCTACGTTAGTTTTACCCGGCAGCACAAACAAAAAAAATCCCCACCCTAAAAACAAGCAACCCCTTTTTTCAAAAACACCCTTTTGGCAGACAACAACGAGCTAGACCATGAGGGTTCTACAGTATCATTGGTTTGCTTTTTAAAAGATTTACAGACAGACTTTTACTGAGCTGGTTTGTTAACACCTGAATTTCAATTACCATCATTTATACATTGCAAGTGGTATACCAATACCCTGCATTTCTACAGTACCTTTAATTCATGGATCTCACCTAAATTGAGCTTCTCCACATTCTTGGAAACTAGGTAAGTATTCTTGATATCTATATTACACACAGGTAAACAAAAGCCGACACACAAAGTGATTTAACTAAGCTCAAACTTCAAGCCAATAGCAAAGCTCTAAATAAACTCAGAAATCATGAAGTTAAGTCCCTCTGTTCTAACCACTAGACACAGCACTGTTTCTCCTATGACTATTGCCCGATTTCAGTTACTGAAGTAAACTATGAAAACTGTAGAAAATGCCCATATGGAGTCATACATAATAGTTCTGTGAGCACTGGAAGTAATTTTTTTAATTCAAGCAGAAGTACGTTTCTTGTTGCTGCTGCTGTTTTGGTACACAGAAAAAAGCTAAGTAGGAAAACAAATATAATGCCATCAGATCAAAAATATTCTCCCACTAATCTGGGGTTCGTGTGATATGGGCAGCATTTGGTGGGGTACTGTAGGATTTTTGTCGTCGTCATCATAGGATTTTTTTGAACCACTTAAGTGCTTTGAAGAACCTGCCATGTCAATTCCTGCAGCTTGCTCAAGTTTGGCCACATTTTTCAGCAGATAGCACTGTACGAGGCCCCAAAATACAAAGTACAATAATATGCTACTTAGTGGAGAGGAATGAATTTGTACAGGTTTTGTACTCACGCAGAAGTCGTCTGCATGTCGTGCCAGCTTTTGCTAAAGTTCTGTTTCAGCTCATTCATCAGGTTGATACCAAGCTTTTGTTTTATTTCTGCCAGGTGCTTTTCTTTGGCTGCTAACACTTGCCGTAAAGTTGAAATTTCATCCTCTAGCTGAATAGAATAAAAAAAATGTTAGCTAGTCATGGAAAGATAAATAAGTATCACATGGTCAGAGTTAAAAATCTCGACTGAGGTTCACATGAATCTGTATTTGACAGTGAGGCATATGTGGGGGAAAGGGGATTAAAGCAATTTTGCTGGTCCCTGGGAAGCTACCCGGACTACCACATCCATTATTACAATTCTGGTCAAAATGCACATCTCCTTAAATGTATGGCCCCACACTCCTCACATACACCTAGTAAAGGGGAGAGGTCTCTCACCATTGGGAAGCAACTGTGCAGCAAAATCTGCTTGGGGGCATCACCAGTCTTTACATGACACAAGCACTTGATTCACACAGAAAATGGGAATGGGTAGGAGCAGGGGAAGACCATGTAACACAGCCACCTTCCTTTGAATGCGTGAGCTTTGCATTTCCTATTTACAGCTGCCGCTTAAAAAGCATCACAGCCCTCCTGTCTCGGAGCATATAAAATACACATACCACTCCCCAGCTTAATAGGTTTTAAATAAAGAACATTGTTTTTCAAAAACCATTATGCTTTTTCTGTGTGAGACTTTTAATCTCTGTTGCTGTTTTATATGGTTGAAATAATAAAAATATATATTTTTAAAGTATAAGATGTTACCAAGGGTGGCCAAGTATGAGTCAGAGTACAACAGAGACTCTTATAGCGTGGATACAGGGACTGCTATTGAAACTGGCCCTTGCCTAAGGGGTTTGGTGTGCATTGCCATAAACCTCCTTGCCCAGCCTAGCCCCGTCCTCAGGGCTAGTAACAATCTGGCCTGTAATTTATCAACCCATCCCAAGATAAAGGGGAAGGAGACATTTCTAGAGAAAAACACTTCACTACATTTAAGGTACCAGCTATAGAGCCTAGAAAAACATAGTGCTGAAGACCAGGCTACACATTATCGGCCTGGTTCTCCGCTTCACGGCAGCCCCTTAATGTCACTCCAGCAGCCAAAGGGGCTGACTAGAGAGAGTTGAAGGGCTCACCAGGAATTTTCCTGGCAAAGAAGAAATTCCTGCTTTATAATAAAAGGAGGCGGAGCAGAGCTATACCATCTCCCTCACATCCCCTGGTATATGGACTTGCCGGGAGAAAGGGAGTGGTTGAAGAGCCCTCTCTACTCTGGCTATCCCATTGGCTATAGGGATCCATGGGCAATCCAAGCATAAAAGCTAGAGCAGCAGCCCTGAAGACCTGAGAATACCAAAGGCAAAAAGGTGTCTTAAAATCACTTTGCTTGTCCACACCCAGCTTGGGAGTGGAGGAACAGAGAATCAAGGCCTATGCCTTTAGTCTTCTATTTCTGAAAAGTTTTTGGACTTGATAACTACAGACTAAATTTTACTTGTGGGGGAAAAATCAGTGGGACTCCTTGCATAGACACAAAACAATCAGACAGACACTGCCCTGTAATCTGCCATCTAATCTTTAGTAACATTTTAGTTAAGGGGGGAAAAAAGGAAACTAAGAACTGACCTTGAACTAACCAACTTGTGCATGAGTAAGTTCTAAAGAATATGTTCAGTCCAAAGCAATCTATGGTGCTACTGTTCGTACTCTGGCAGACATCTTTTCAAACACAATTTTTCAGACTTCATTTTATACAAAATAATGGGGTTACCTAGCATACGAATAGGACATTTGGCTAAGGAGAGGACAACTAGAAACAGTTCACCATTTATTCAATCTTCTATGCCATTAGTCCGCATAGGGCTTAAAATCTCTACCCCACAGAACAAGCAGCCCCATGTAATAATTAAGTTGCAGTCGTGGTGAAGGTGAAGGTCAAAGATAGTTATTCTTGACAACACAATTAGAATTTCCATTAAAACGGTTTTGTTTTTTCCTGTGTATCCTATTTATAGATATCTATGTGTAGGGTGGCCAACTTTCTAATGTCTGAAAATTAGACCCCCAACCTATCCCTTCCCTCAAGGCCCTGCCCCTGCTCCACTTCTTCCCCAAGGCTCCGCTCACTCCTCTCCTGCCTCCCTCACTGCTTTCTCCCCTCAACTCCAGCCTGAACAGCCCCAAGGGACTTGGCATGCTGGAGCTGGAGTTGGCACCTGGCAGTGCAGGTCAGAAGAGTGCTGCGGCTGCACAGGAGTAGCCAGGCAGCCCCACTGGTGAGCTAGGGCACGGCGCTGTCTGCCCAGCAGCCCCCACTTCCCTCGGCGCTGTCTGCCCAGCAGCCCCCACTTCCCTCGGCGCTGTCTGCCCAGCAGCCCCCTTCCCCACCCGCTCGAGCCCTCTCTGCCCTGGAGCTGCCTGAGAGAGTGGCTGGGGGAAGAACCAGCTGGCGGGACAGCTCACGTTCCTTCCCTCCTGGGGAACATTCCATGCCTGCTTTTACGGGAAGATCTTGGTGGATGAGCTACATGCAGGACCACTACCAATAACTGGGATATGCATTATCATACTTATTGCCAAAAGCAGCTAAATCAGTAAGCCACTGCAACGGCCTTAGCATAACTAAGCAAGCAGCTGGGGGCAGGGGCCATTTGACCCTCTGTCCTTCCTGATAAGATCTGAAATTGCTGAGGTATGTGTTTTAGAAAAACAGGAAGCTTATCCATATCTGCCCTGTGGGATGTGTTTGTGAGGGCCCTCAAACCATGCGGGCTCTAACAAAACCAAAACACACACCACATCTAATTGATGGTTTAAGAAAAGCTTCTTGCTTAACCTTTGAAATTGCTTGCTTAACAAGTTCTTTTTTTGATTGACAGGTTATTGTTACACAACCCCGAATAAATAAGGAGAGAAAGTATGGGGTAGTTGGACTCTTCAGAAACACTTCGTGGACATATTGTAGGGTCCTGAGTGGCAACTGAGTGACAGACCAATTGGACAGCTGTTGTTGTACCACTCGAAGACTGCTCCAGACTTCGGTAATTATTGATTTTGGGGGCATTTTACTAACCTGTTGCGGACGTGTCTAAGCGCTTGAGACTAAATAAAGTGGAGCTTTAAGTGAAAGCACTCTTGTGGTGGACTGTTCATGCCAACCACCTATCAGACGGCCTGTCTCCAGTGATTTATTTCCTGCCACTGCCTTACCAAGAGTAATCGTTACCAAGAGCTTTGGATGTTTAGAACCACGGTAACACACTGGGAGTCCCTCACCCTGCTCACCATGGACCCCCACACTCCTCAAAGGAGCTGCTTGCGGCCTGAGCTTGTGCATGTATGCCACAGGAGCCACCACTTCAGGGCTGGGCAACAGGCTGCCACTCCCCTGCCCCACAGCCCTGCAGTAACTGGACTTTTAGTGTCCGGTTAGTATATCGGACCAGATTCTGCCAGGTTCCCTTTTCAACCTGACTTTCTGGTTGAAAACCGGACATCTGGGAACCCTATCTAAGTGTTCTGGAATCCCCTTGATCCTATTGGACATTGTACGATTTAACCCTCTAAACTGCAAAGAATGAGGCAAGCACTAGTGAATAAAGCAGTGACTTCCAAGTCTGGTTTCATACTATTGATCCCAGAGCTGTTTTTATCTTGCACACTAATGCATTCTCTTACTCTGAAAACAGATCAAAGGTTCACTGGTCTTTTAAAAAAATCTCACTCTTTAATCCACACCCTCTCAGTTTCTCATTTGCCATTACATGGGATTTAAGTTATTCAAGAAGCTTGGTAATTAATCAGAAATTCTAGGCACATGGGGTGAAATCCTACCCTATTGAAGTCAATGCAAAAACTCCTGCTGACTTCAACAGGCAGGATTTCACCCATGGATGCAACGAAGTGTTATAATCTGCATGATCCAGAATAACTTTTCATTTTTCCAGTAAATTTAGTGGGCACTGGATCGTAAATAACTAATTTAAGAATTCCTTCCTCTTGCCATTGCAGAAACAGCAAAATGAAACATCGCAAAGAATCAGCACCACTAGGGAAGAAACCAGGTTCTGTGAAGGAGTAACTGAGCAAGTGTTTCTAGAAAGAAGAAAATAAACCATTCTGGTTTAAAACTAATTGGATTATGCATGTATTGATTGGATGTTGAACGTTAGAATTCAACTACTTGCCACCCAAAATCAAAACTCCGGGTGCATCAGTTCACCCCACTAACACTATTAAACAGTTTAAGGTTAAGCCAAAACCAGTATCTTATATTACTTACAGATACTTAAACATTAATGCTTACCATACGGACTAACACCAATTGATCATTACATACCTGTCTGGGGGAACATGCAAAGTCTTTTTGATTAAAATTACTTTCCATTTGTTCCGTTAGAGAGATAACTAAGTCTTCAAGGCTCTATGTAAGCACTAACCCTTTGCATTCTGTTGAAACACGGACAACATTATGCACTCTATTAGAGGAAAGCAGAGTGTTTTTTAAAACATCCATTCTTAAAGGAAACCATCGACTTGAAATCTCAACAGTTTAAAAAAAAAGTTAAACAGTTTCAGATAGTTGCTCAGATACCACCACCATGACTGGGGACTTGTAAGTAACTTGCTGAAAGGCTTAGGGATTTCTAATTAAGCATGTGCAGAAGTGTGTGCTAGGTCAGGACCACAGAGAGAGGAGACAAAGTCCCCCTGATCATTTTTGTGGGTTATAGAATCACATTTATCTTATTTTTTCTCTCCCCTGTTGTTACTTGAGAGACTCACATAACCATCAGAGGAAGCTGATGACCACCAAAATTATGTTACCCCTGAATAGTCTATTAGCTTTCCTACTGACTTCAGTAGGAGCACTCATACAAGTAAGATTACACATGTGCATACTTGTTTGCAGAAAGAGGCCCTAAGTGTCCACATTTTTTCTGAAACTCAGACTCCTTGTGATGTACATAACTGAACTTCCTTCAAAAACCACGTTCTGACAGAAACTCCTGATCCCATGTGAAATTTTGGGGCAGGTCTGCTATAATTTTGGGATGTGAAGTGGACCTGTGGTACATTTTCACTTTCAGATTGTTACAGGAATATACAATCATTTTTATGTGCACTATAGAAATGCCTGAAGGCCTCAGTTAGGATCAGGGCCCCACTGTGCTAGCCAATGCACAAATGCAAAGTAAGAGACACTCCATGTCCTGGAAACCTTACCATCTAAAACAGACAAAAGGAGAAAGGGAGTTAGGAGTGTAATACAACATACAAGCGTAACCCACAAGGAGATTACCCAAATTCCTGGGGCTGTATCTGCTGGCAGCTCAGGGAGAGGCACACTGTCCCTGGTAGGGAGGGGGAGCCAAGGCAAACTCAGAGTCTGCCTGGCAACCAATAGGGCGTGAGATGCCCCTCCCAGGGAGTTCAGGAAAGGGGAGAAGCCATTTTCGAGTCAGTCTGGAGCCAGCCGGGGCAAGTGCAGGACTTGCTGTGTGGGGAGCTGATAAGTCCCAGGCCTGCATGCAGGGTTCCCCCTGAGAACTGGCCTCTAGGGACCTGAAAGCAAGATTTCCTCAGCTGGGCTTTTTCTTCTATCCTGATGATTCCTAGTTTGTAGAGTTTTGCTGGGAAACTTCCCCGGCCAGGCTGATTTTGCCCTCCAGCTCCCTAGGTGAGACCAGTCACCACATAGTCAGCTCTGCTCTGGCAGCTAGTTCAGGGCTGCTGCCTGCTCTCTCTCTCTCTGTGTATGTATGTGTATATATATATATACACACACACACACGTATGCTGGGCTAGTAGATTACAATTTGGATTTTAGTACAGTTGTGTAATCTGCACCTTGAGCCCTGCACCCCTTTGTGGTGAGGGGAAATCCTGGGACCAAAGTAACCTGATTCCTGCCTGAAGAGAATCCCTGCCAGCAGAGATCAGCCCCTCTGCTGTGACTGAGGAGTCCAGAGTCATCTCTGAACCTGAGGATCATTCATGGAGTTTGAGAGTGCACCACCTTTTAGTCAGTCAGGGAATTTGTTTTGGGGACCCCCCCCAACTCCCTGAACTGTGTCCCCAAGCCAGGGAGTAAGGGTTTTGTGATTTTATAACCTGCTGCATATTAAACCTGTGGAAGGATTTACCACCTTCTCCCACTTGTGAGTGCTTTGGGCTTTACTGAACCCAGTCAGCCACACTGCTAAACCACTGCAGAGAAGAATTTTGTGGTCATAAGTCATCAAGGGCTCCAACAAAGTACGCGTACCAACGGGACACTAATCTTACATTTGCTACATCAAGTCACGTGACTGGGGAAAGTCACAGGTATTAACAGTGTGGGCACCGATGAACTAAATATAGTGTTTTACCCGGTTATGTGTGTCTCCTGTTTAATATAATTATTGTGTTGAATATATTGTATGTGTTTGTGTTATTTCTTGGAAGTCTCCAACTATCTGGCAAGTAAGTGGGGATTACCCTGTGGTTAGAATTTTCCTCCCAAGCTGCCCTGGTGACCCTGCCAGGAAGGAACGAGGGGGGTGGAGGCACCACCAAATAAATTCATAGGAAAAAATAAAGAAGATACACCCTGCTGAGTGGGTGGCGGGATCCAGAAGAACCCAGACCTGTCCATCAAAACCTGTACGCAGATTGGCATTAAAGAAGGTAACCGGGTGGAGAGGGGACGCTACACAAGCAACGTGGTAAGTAGTGGGTGTGTGTGATCCATCCCCAAGACCAGCAACATACAAGGCAAGGGGGAATTAAAAAAAAAAAGAAAAAAGACAACACATATTTTATATAATCGGATATATGCATACACACATTACATATCTTATTTTGTTTTTTTAAATAAATACACATCAAGCATACCTGAAAGCCACTCATTCTATTAACTGATCTCTTGTAGGCTTCAAGAAAGAAGTGGGCCCTGAGGAAGGATTTGAAGAAGAGGCTAGGTGTCCTTACTGACTGACACAGGGAGAACCCCTCATGTACAAGGAGAATGTGGCATAAAGCACAGAGATAACTGTGAAAGACGTGTACCATTGGGCTTGTGTGTCAAGATTAGCATTACTGGTGGAGAGGAGGGTGGAGGTAAGGTGGAAGAGAGCTCTACAGGAACATGAAGCTAAAGCAGAGAGGGGAGACTGGCAAAGGCAGAAATGGCAGCTGCATCCAACTCCCACTGAAGTTACTTTCAATGGGAGTTGGGAGTCTAAAAGCTTGTGTGCCTTAGGGCACGTCTTCATTGGCAATGTTAAAGCGCTGTTGTGGCACTGTTTTAGAGAGCTCTCCCAGCGCTCTTAAAAAAAAAAAAAAAAAAAGAACCCACCTCAATGAGGGGCATGGTTCCCAGTGCTGGTGTACTATCTACACTCGCCCTTGACAGCTCTGAAACTTGCAGCGCTCTGAAGTGCCAGCATAGACAAGCCCCTAGAAAAAAAATCTCTTCCAGGAAACTTGATCTTAATTTTAGTCTTAGAACCTCCCCCAAATTCTCCAGACTTTTTCTAAATGCAATGCTCAAGCATTTTCCCTTTGAACATAATTACATGCCACTGGAATGCCATGAGCAATTTAAAACAGTCTTATGAGCCCAGCGACCTAGATACTGTAATTCTAGTGACAACAGAACAACTTTCAGTTTGTCTTTGTGTACTTGAATTAAGGGTCTCATCCCGTGTAGTGGGTTCCAAGTGCCCTCAATTCCTGCTGACATCAATGAGTGAAGGGTGCTCAGGACCTCATAGGATGAGACTCTTGGGGAACTCATCATTCTCAGATAACTATAAGGAGTTTTCTTTATTTTCCTCCATCTCTCTCTTTCCATCTGTTTGGCCAGGAAAGCATGCAAATCAATGAATCCAAGAGCTACAATATGCAAGCTTACACACATTTTCTTTAAACATGAAATAACTCCTACCCCATCTGCATGTCCTGAGCCGGATATATAAATATAATTAATAGTCATACGTAAGCTTCCTTCCTATTATTTACAGGTGTACAAATGCACTATAGAAGCAAGATGTACCTAACATTTTTGAGACATTAGATCTTCCCACAGCCTTAAAAGCCCAACTGGGCAGAAACAAACAGTTGGCTTTTACTCCTCCAGGAAATCACAAGTCAGAGTACAGAATGAAAAAACAAACAAAATTCTCAGTGGCTAAGTTCAAAAATCAAATAAGGTCATGGAGGATAGGACAATCAATGGCTATTAGCCAAGATGGTTAGGAATGGAACCCCATGCTCGGGGTGTCTCTAAACCACCAATTGCCAGAAAGCTGGGGCAGGATGGCAGGGAATGGATCATTTGAGAATTGCCCTGTTCTGTTCATTCCCTCTGAAGCACCTGGCATTGGCTACAGTCAGAAGACAGGATACTGGGTTAGATGGACCACCGGGCTGACCCTGTATGGCTGTTCTTATGACTATCAACTGCAATTTAAATATTTTTACTGCATAGTGGAGAAAGTCTAGTCTCTGCTAATAATTGTCCTTTGAATTACATCATCTAGTCCTGTATCAGCCTCCCATTGTTGTCAGTACCAGATGCTCCAGAAGATGGTTCAATGACAGAAAAACTTTCCTATGACCCTGCCAACTGTTAGTGTCTACTCATGCACTGAAGCTTGAAGGTTTTTGTCCCTTCCCAAACGTTTGGCTTATTAAAATCCTTAGAATTGGAACTTTTAGTGGTTTTGAATTTCCCACCTTCTGGTTTCACTGATTGCCCCTTTCTTATAGTATTATGAGAAAGTGAATAGAAGTTCGCAATCTACCTTCTCTTTACCCTTCCTTACTGTGAATACTTTTCTCACAATCCCTCTTATTTGTCTTCTCTAAAGTAAACAATTCCAATTCTTTCAATCTGGCTCCATATGAAGGTTTTTCCATGCTTCTAATTGGCTGCCCCTGAACCTCATCTATTTCTTCTGTATCATACAGCAGACACCATGGGGGAAGACTGCACTCGGACTGGATTTAAGCCTGATGTTGACTCTCTTCCTAATCTCACCAAAACTAAATCAATAGTGCCATGTAATTTCATCCAGTTCAAGCTCCCGCAACTTCCTTCAGCCATCTGGGATTTATTTTTTTGTAAATTCTCTTCGCAGTACTGTAAGAAGTTGTGTTATGATGTTGCAACCACTATCAGTGGCGTTTTCTCTAAGAATTATGTAATCAGTTCTTTTCAGTAAGTGTGTCATAGGCTGGCTGGCCCTTCTAGAGAGAGAGATCTCAGCCCACCTGTGACACAGCTGATTTGCCTCCCCAGGTGGAAAGAATGAATGAGTCAAGTCACTTGACAGGCAGTCATGTGACTAAACCAGGGTTTCTGAGGGTTAGAAAAATAGAAGCTTGTGAACAGCTAAAGTGAGGCACTGCAGAGTGGACCAGCAGGAAAAGAGACTCTCTTGCAGTGATCCCTCAGGAAGGGAGTCATGGCTGGGTAGAAAGACCCAGCTGAAAGTTGTCTCTTCCATTTGGGGAGTGGCAAAGAAGGCAAGCCAGGCCAGGCCTTAGGTCTTCTCCTGTGAACAGAGAACAAGCCAGTACCTCAGGGAGGAGGAGTTGGGCCCAGCTTTAATGGGTAGGAGGATGGAAGACCTTTGATGTTTGTTTTGGAACTTTGTTTTAAAACACACCATACTTCAATAAGAGTGACTGTTACTGGACTTATGAAAGCCTTTTGTGCATGAGTTGTGGTGTATCGGGGAGCCTGGAAGAGGGGAATCCGAGGCAGGGAGCCACAGAGCCAATTCCAAGCCATGAGGGGCTCTCAGGAGGCACTTGACAAAACATCATGCCACAAATCCATGGTCTTGAAAGAATATGGGTTCTTTCAGGGGTCTTTCATTATATGTGCTGCAAATTTAAGACTAATGACACATGGCTCATTTGTTAAAATAGCACACCCACTAATTTTACCTCTGCCTTTATCTTTACTAATAGATGATTAGTTTTCCAAAAATAATCAACAGAATGAATCATCTTGCACTAGTCTAGAATTAAAGGAAACAATGTACTTGTGACATCTGCACTTTATCCTGCTAATAATATTTATACCTCTGGAATTTGGAAGTTAATATCCAGGGGATCAAAAGCATTACCTTGGCTAGCTCAATCTTTAACTCTTCTTTCTCTTCTTCAGAAATAATGCTTGTGAAATCAATATCAGTGACTGTTTCTTCATCTGTCTCGTGCAATGGCTGTGTTTCCAGCAGACCTTTGAAAATAAGAAAGTAACTGTCAATAAAACTCTTACAATACATTTCACTGAGTGGTGATGGGGAGGGGGCAGAAGGTGGCCAACTGTACGAAACCTAAATAAAGGCTAACTTTTGTTACATGCACTAGAGTTATCCAGGTCTTTCTAATACATCCCATTTGGATTCCTCTTTTTTTTGCTTTTATAAACCTATTGCAAATGATAGATAATCACAGAATCATAGAAATGCAGGGCTGGAAAGGACCTCAAGAGGTCATTTAGTCCATCTCCCTGCCTGAGCCAGGGTTAAGTATACCTAGGCCATCCGTGACTGGTGTTTGTCTAACCTGTTCTTAAAAACCTCTAATGATGGGGATTCCACTTCTTAAGTACTGTTCCAGTGCTTAACTATCCTTATCGTTATAAAGCTTTTCCTAAGATCCAACTGTGATGACTGGAGCTTGATGGATGCATTACCTAGTGGTTAGGGAGTCATTTTTTTTAATGAAGCGGGGAATTGGTTGAGGAGCCTAGGCCCTCCCACTCCACCGGGCTACAGCCCCAGACCCCATGAGGGTTACCAAAGGCCAGGCACCCACGAGTGCCTTATGATTGCCATCTCTGGGACACTTACTACCTCCCATGCTATAGTCCAAGCTTTATAGTCTGTAGCAAAACTGGAAAAAAAAAAAAGGTACTGACTGCATCTTTAGTCTGTCTGGGCCTACCAGGTAGGTTCCTCTTTTCCCAGAGGAGCTGCTCCAGCATCCTTTCACAGGAGCACCCAGGACAGGTCCTTCTCTCTGCCTTGTCAGCCCCTTTCTGAGCTGTCTGGCTTCCTTTTAAGCTCCATTTCCACCTGGAGCATGCGCTGCAGATGTGGCTGGGCCCAAAATTGTTCTTTAACCCCTTCAGTCCTAGTGTGAGGCTTACACACCTCATTACACCAACCTAGATCTCCCTTGCTGAAACTAAGCAGATTACTTCTTGCACCAACCTTGATGGACATGGAGAAAAATAGTATTTTATTGTATTTTTTGTAGAATATTGACATGAAGGCACCAACAATTATCACTGGATGCAGCACACAACACTACTGCATGATACAGTATAGAAGAAAAGAACATGAAAAAAACGTAGCTTTTTCTTCAAATTAAAAAATAAATATGGATCACTGCTGTGTGATGTCCACAACAAGGATGACAATATAACTGCTGGTCAGTATAGCACTGTCATACAGTAGATCAATATACACTTTATATTTTTCCATGTGTGTCTTGTTCGAGGTGTTTCAGAGCCTCTCACTATTAACTGAGTGTGACGGGTTGGATCACAGAAACCCCCTTGGGGCTGCCAACTGATGAGCTAGGACTACTAATGCCCCTGCTTTCCCTGCCAGCTTGGGTTGTGCCAGACACGCTTGCCAGCTACAAACACAGACCCTGGTCTGAACAATGTCCACAAGCTGCTGGCTTAATGGAAAACAGCTTAAGAAGTGTTCCTGTCTCCAACACTCAGATGCCCAACTCCCAACGGGGTCCAAACCCCAAATAAATCTGTTTTATCCTGCATAAAGCTTATACAGGGTAAACTCAAATTGTTCACTCTCTATAACACTGACAGAGAGATATGCACAGCTGTTTGACGCCCCCTCCCCCCCAGGTATTAATACATTCTCTGGGTTAATTGATAAGTAAAAAGTGATTTTATTAAAGACAAAAGTAGGATTTAAGTGGTTCCAAGCAATAACAGACAGAACAAAGTGAATTACCAAGCAAAATAAAATAAAACACGAAAGCCCATGCCTAATACAGTAAGAAGCTGAATACAGATAAAAATCTCACCCTCCGAGATGTTCCAATAAGCCTCTTTTACAGACTAGCCTCCTTCTAATCTGGGTCCAGCAATCACTCACACCCCCATGGTTACTGTTTTTTGTTCCAGTTTCTTTCAGGTATCCTTTGGGGGTGGAGAGACTCTCTCTTGAGCCAGCTGAAGACAAAATGGAAGGGTCTCGCAGGGGTTTAAATAGACTCTCTTGTGAGTGGACACCCCTCCCTTCTCCCCATGTAGAATCCCAGCTACAAGATGGAGTTTTAGAGTCACACGGGCAAGTCACACACGTCCATGCATGACTCAGAACTTACAAGTAGAAGCCATTGTTCACTTGCTACCTTGAACATCCTCAGGTAGACTTCTTATGTGGACTGGAGCCTTCCAAGATCGATTGTCCATTAAGTGTTTCTTGATTGGGCACTTAATTTGCAAATTCCTTTCTAAAGAAGCTGCCCAAATGCCTTACTAAGGCTACTTAAAATCAAACAAGTACATTGCCAATATTCATAACTTCGAATACAAAAATGATACATGCATACAAATAGGATGAATATATTCAGTAGATCATAACCTTTGCAGAGATATGTTACATGGCATATGTAGAAGAAAACATATTCCAGTTTTGTCATATTTACATTCATAAGCATATTTCCATGAAGCATTATGGGATGCAACGTCACACTGAGTACTACTACTATGGAAAGTGTACCTCTGGGTTTGACTTCACTGTTTAAAAAGGTGCGGTTTTTACCTCAGCTGACTTATGCACATGAGCTATTCCAAGATAAAAATATAGTAAAGACAAAGCATTTTAGTTTTACCATGAGGTAAACTTATCATGCGCAGTCCTATACTGGCCAAAAGTTACTAGGGGTGGTGGGGGGGGAGAAAGCAGTAGATGTGATACTAAAAATCAAGATGTAAGGTTTTTAACACAGTCCCACATGACAGTCTCAAACAAACTAGGAAAATGTGGTCTAGATGAGATTACTATATAGGTGGGTGTACAACCTGTTCAAAGACCATACTGAAAGAGTAGTTATCAATGGTTTGCGGTCACAATGAGAAGACATATCTAGTGGATTCCCACAGGGGTTGAATAATTTTCATTAATCAATCACAGATAATGGAGAGGAGAGTATGCTTATAAATTTGCAGATGACACCAAGCTGGGAGGGGTTGCAAACATTTTGGAGGACAAGATTAGAATTCAAAACCATCTTTACTAATTGGTCTGAAATTAACAAAATGAAATTCAATAAAGACAAATACAAAGTTCTATACTTAGGAAAGGAAAAATATCAAATATACAACTACAAAATGGGGAACAACGGGAGCGTTATATGAATTGCACTGGAAGTAACTGTCCCTTCTAGCCCTACATTTCTATGATTCTGGATCCCCATCTGAGATTTACCTGATGGTGAAACTAAAGTGCCTTGTCTTCACTGTGTCATTACCTCAGGAGAGCTCACATGGGTTATTTACTCTGAGGTAAACATCACTGCTTTTTTAACAGTGAAGATAAGCCCTAAGATGATGCGATATGGAGGTTTCAGAATGCTGGTAAGTCTGAAGTACAAGCAACAGATATGGGGAGTGGAATAGTCCAGAAGCTTGGAGCAGAGTATACTTGTGATTATTCTTGATAGCTTAATTCACTGTGCTGTCACACTTAAGCCCTGATCATACAAACACTGATGCACATGCTTAATCTTACTACCTGTAGTCCCACTGGGGGGGAGGTATAGCTCAGTGGTTTGAGCATTGGCCTGCTAAACCCAGGGTTGAGAGTTCAATCCTTGAAGCCATTTAGGGATCGGGGGCAAACACTGGGGACTGGTCCTGCTTTGAGCAGGGGGTTGGACTAGATGACCCCCTGAGGTCCCTTCCAGCCCTGAGATTCTATGAAACCAATGACAGTACTCATGGTGTTTAAGTGCATACTTAACCGCTTCCAGGATCAGGGCCATGATTTGTCTCTTATGCTCAGGTGCGCTGAAGATCAGCGGCATCATGTCTTATTCGACAAGCACCAACAGGAAAGAGTTTTACAAAAACGGCATCCAGTGACTGTCACAAGGAATTTGGTGGCTTAAATAACTGGGGGATGCTTCCTATTGGTTGCAAAGAGAACGTGGAACTTTACCAGACTCCTCCTTCCCCAGCCTCTCCTTCCCTGTGCATTGCCTAGGGGGCCTGGCATTTGTGTGTTGTATAGCAAAGTTTAACAAAACTGCTTCTTATCAATTTCACACTGCAGTTCACAGGGTTCTGAATAGCAAAAGTAAACCGGACCATAGTTTTGACAACTTCACTCTGGTGCTGCTTGGCAAAGCAATGAATTGCAAGAGAAGCACTGACCTGTCTGGTGGCACCCTCAGGTACAGACCACTGTGTTGATTCATGTTGGAAGCTTACCTTTGCAACCATAAGGGTCAGAAACTTTTTAATAAAAATAAAAGCTTAAATTGATCATTTAGAAACAACATCATGCCAGCTTCCTTGGAAAAGCTAGGTATATGGATTTTTAAAGCCCTGACAAAACAAAAAAATATATTTCACACAAACTGCAAGAAAATAATTTCCAAATTAGCCAGAAGAGCCAATTATTGTTTCCAGTTTATTCTGAGATTTTAAACAGCTTTTTCATAGCTCCAGTATGTGCTTTAGAAAAAGAAAGAATAAGTTAGACTCCAGCAGAAAAAAAAATAAAAAGACTGTTTAAGGGTCTCGGCTTTGTCCTTCAAATACTCCATCATCAACCAGTATGTCAAAACAACCACTACCGTAAATTTCTACTTTAGACTTGGAAGCCTGGATAAACACAGTGTCCTTCCAATCCACAGCCACATGTATCCAATGTAACTTCTGACCAAAAATCAAATCTCTGGGTCAGCTATAGCCTAGACAAAAGATACTTTACAATGTGCATCACTCAGCTGCCACAAAGACAGAGCTATGGCTAAGCAGAATTCAGCACAGTTTGAGCAGAATAAAATGAACTCTGGGGCAGCCAGAGTCTGATCTGGCCCCTGATCTAAGATACAGCATCCAGAGGGAAGCAAGAAAAGAAGGTAAGAGAAGGATGAAGAGAGAACCAACTAGCTTCCTATTTGAAATAGCATTTAATGTTGGATGAGATTTACATAGCTCATGCTCTAGAGGGATGATGTCACAGA